GGTTATGTTTTTTGTATGAGATTGTGAATAATTGGTGTTACATCTTCTTTAAATATTTGACAGAATTTATCAAGGAAGTTTGGTCCAAGCTTTTCTTTTGGAGAAGTTTTCTGATTATTAACTGAATCTTTTCTCATTATAAACCAACTGAGAGTTTCTGTTTCTTCTTGAATCTGTTTTGATCATTTCTTTTTTTTTTTTTTTTTTGAGATGGATTCTTGTCCTATCACTCATTCTGGAGGCTAATGGCATGATCTCAGCTCACTGCAACCTCTGCCTCCCGGGTTTAAGCAATTCTCCTGCCTCAGCCTCCCAAGTAGCTGGGATTACAGGAGTGCCCCACCACACCAGGCTAATTTTTTGTATCTTTAGTAGAGAAAGTTTCACCATGTTGGCCAGGCTGGTCTCGAACTCCTGACCTCATGATCCACCCGCCTTGGCCTCCCAAAGTGCTGGGATTACAAGCGTGAGCCACCACTCCTGGCCCGATCATTTCTTTATCTAGAAATTTGTCTGCTTCATCTAGGTTGTCTAATATCTTGGTATATGATTGCTCATAGTATCCCCTCATCCATTCTTAATTTTAGTGATTTGAGTCTTTGGTTTTTCCTTGGTGAGTCTAGCTAAATAATTTAGTTTTTGTTGAGGTTTTTAAAGACAAAACTTTTGGTTTCTTTAATTTTTTCTAGCATTTTTCTAATCTCTACTATTTATTTCCTTTCTAACATTTAGCATTTTCCTCCTACTTGTTTTAGTTTTAGTTTGCTCATCTGTGTCTAATTCCTTTTTAAAACAATTTCAGTTTTTATTACAGATTAAATGGCACAAGTGCAGGTTTATTACATGAGTATAATTCTTGCCTCAGCATGGGGTACAAATAATCCAGGTGGTTAGCATAGTACCCAATAGGTGGTTTTTCAGCCCATTTTCTCCTCCTTTCCTCCCATCTTGAAGTCCTCACTTTCTATTATTTTCATCTTCATGTCTATGTATATTCAATGTTTAGCTCCTGCTTATAAGTGACAACATGCAGTATTTGGTTTTCTGTACTTGCGTTAATTGGCTTAGGATAATGGCCTCCAGCTCCATCTATACTGCTGTGAAGGGCATAATTTTATTTTTATGGCTGTGTAGTACTTTATAGTGAATATGCACCACATTTTCTTTATCTATCTACTGTCAGTGGCCACCTAGGTTGATTTCATGTCTTTGCTATTGTGAGTAGTGCAGGAATGAGCATATGAGTACATTAGTTTTTTTGAAAGGATGAATTATTTTTCTTTGAGTATATACTACTGGTTCAGCCACTGTATAAAGCAATTGGGAGACTTATCAAAGAAGTGAAAAAGAACTACTTTTTGAGTATATACTACTGAGTATATACTACTGGGTAGTATATACTCAAAGAAGTGGTTCTTTTCACTTCTTTGAGAAATCTCCCAATTGCTTTATACAGTGGCTGAACCAGTTTGCATTCCTATCAACAGTGTATAAACACTCCCTTTTCTCTGAAGCCTTGACAGCATCTGTTATTTTTTGACTTTTTAGTAATCAGAATTCTGACTGGTGTGAGATGTTATCTTGTTGTCATTTTGATTTGCATTTCTCTGATGAATAGTGATGTTGAGCATTTTTTCATGTTTGTCAGCTGCTTTGACATCTTCTGTTGAGAAGTGTCTTTTCCTGTCCTTTGCTCCCCTCACCTTTCTTTCTTTTTTTTTTTAGAAAGGGTTTCACTCTGTCACCCAGGTGGGAGTGCAGTGGCACAATCTTGGCTTACTGCAACCTCCACCTCCCAGGTTCAAGCAATTCTCATGCCTCAGCCTCCTGAGTAGCTGGGATTACAGGCATGCCACACGCTCCCTGACTAATTTTTGTATTTTTAGTAGAGATGGGGTTTCAATATATTGGCCAGGCTGGTCTTGAACTCCTGGCCTTAAGTGATCTTCCCACCTTGGCCTCCCAAAGTGCTGAAATTACAGGTGTGAACCATGGTGCCCAGCCCCTTTGCCCATTTTTACAGATGGAGTTATTTGATATTTGCTTTTTAAATTTTTACATTTCCTTACAGATTCTGGACATTAGACCTTTGTTGGAAGTGTAATTTCCTAATATTTTCTCCTGTTCTATGAGTTGTCTCTTTACTGATAATTTATTTTACTGTGCAGAAGCTCTTTAGTTTAATTAGGTACCAATCGTCAATTTTTTGTTACAATTGCTGTTTGAAACTTGGCCATAAATTATTTTCCAAAGCCAATATCGAGAAGAATATTTCCTAGGTTTTCTCCTAGGATTTTTATAGTTTGAGGTCCTCCATTTAAATCTCTAATCTGTCTTGGTTTTTTTAGATATAGTCAGAGGTGGGGGTCCAGTTTTTTAAAATATAGTGAGAGGTAGGAGTCCAGTTTCTTCTACATATGGCTAGCCAGTTATCTCAGCACCATGTATTGAATACAGAGTTGTTTTCTCATTGCTTATTTTTGCCAATTTTTCAAAGGTCAGATGGTTGGAGGTGTGCAGGTTTATTTCTGAGCTCTCTATTCTGTTCCATTCGTCTATTTGTCTGTTTTTGTACCAGTATCATGTTGGTTACGGTAGCCTTATAGTATAGTTTGAAGTTGGGTAATGTGATGCCTTTGGTTTTGTTCTTTTTGCCTAGGATTGCTTTTACTATTTGGGCTCTTGTTTGGTTCCAAATGAAGTTTAGAATACATTTTTCTAATTCTGTGAAAAATGATACTGCTATTTTGATAGGGATAGCATTGAATCTGTAAATTGATTTGAGAAGTATGGCCATTTTAACAGTATTGAGTCTTCTCATCCATAAGCATGGGAAGTTTTTTCCCCTTTATTTGTCATCTGATTTCCCTCAGCAATGTTTTATAGTTCTCCTCGTAGAGATCTTTCACCTCCTTGATTAGATGAATTCCTAGGTATTTCACTTTTTTGTGGTTATTGTAAATGGGATTGTGTTCTTAATTTGGTTCTCAGCTAGAACATTAATGATGTAGGGAAATGCTACTGATTTTGTATCCTGAAACTTTACTGAATTTGTTCATCAGTTCCAGGAGCCTTTTGGTGGAGTCTTTAGGGTATTCTACGTAACTCATGTCATCAGCAAAGAGAGATAGTTAGGCATCTTGTTTTCCTATTTGTTCATCAGTTCCAGGAGAAAACAGAACCCAGAAGCACATCAAAAAATTTGTTCGCCACCATCAAGTATAGTTTATTCCTGGAATGGAAGGTTGATTCCACATATGCAAATGAATAAATGTGATTCAGAAGAATCACATTTTTGCCAATTTTTCAAAGGTCAGATGTGAATGAGAAGATTGTGTATTCTGTAGTTGTTGGGTGGAGTATTCTTTAGATGTTTATTAGCTCCACTTGGTCAAGTGTCCCGTTTAAGGCCAGAATTTCATTGTTAGTTTTTCACCATGTGGGTTCTTCCCCGGGGAACACAGAGCTGTGCCACTAACATAATTCAGGTAGAGGTGGGTCCACTATGCTTGGAGCCCCAACTGGTGCATCCCACACAGCTAGGAGGAGCAGGTGTGGGTGAAGTCACCCGCTCCACCACCTGAGTGCTTCCCAGGGGAAGACAGGGCTGTGCCCACCTGAATTGTTCAGGCGAAAATGGGTCTGCTATGCAGGAAGCCCCACCAGGGATGCACCTCCTGGCTATGAGCAGTAGGGGTAGCAGGAGTCACTCATTCGGCTGTCTGGGTGCTTCCTAGGAGAACATGGTGCTATACCCATCTGCAGAGCTTTTAGACAAAAGTGGGGTCACTGTGCTAGAAGCTGTCATCAAGCATTGTCTTGTGAGGTGGAGTTGAGCATTCTTACCACCACAACTGCAGCCTGTATTAGAGGTATGGCAGAAGGCACCAGGCTATTCTGGGAACCAAGGCCTATCGTGGTCCCTTGTGGACTTGAGTGTTGCCCCCATAAACACTCTGGGCAGCTGTCTGTATCAGTCTGTATGCCTGGGGTCAGGAGGAATCTCCCATCCCAGGATTGTACAGGTCCCTGCGGAAAGCATGGGTCCCCAGGGGCTCTCACCCACTATGAAAACCCATAGTAATCTGGTTGAATTCTCTTTAACTGCCTTATACATGTTTATAAATTGCTGTTTGAATCCCCTTCCCAAGATATGACTGGTAATTGTATGTGGTTTGTATTAATTTCATTCCTCAGAGGTTGGGGCAGCCAGAGAGGGAGTAGGTGACTCTAGGACTCTGTACAACCTCCTGAAGTGACATTTTTCTCTGTGATTGTTTTAAAACTCACAAACTGGTGGTTGCTTTACCAGTTGCAGGGTAAGGGAAGTATCTAGTTCTATGGGACGTGCCCTTGAGGTTTTGTTTTTGTACTTCTTTATAGTGGCTGTTGTCTGCTTTGGTGACTTACCTTGTGCACAATAATATTGCTGGGCCTGATTCCTTTTCTAGCAAATCTTTCTAATGCAGCTAAGACATTTAGATCTAAGAGATAATTTTCCAGACCTTCTCTGATTTCTTTCTGGCTAGAAGGGGTATGTAATTAATCTTCATTCGGGCTAGGGCAGAAATGGGTTTTTCTTTTTTAAACGGGGATCCATGTCTCTAGTTGAGAAGTTTATCTCTTTCTTCTGGGCCACTTATTACCTCAGTCACCTTTTCTACCAAAAGTGGGATATCAGTAGGGTATTTGAATGTAATGACTCACCTTTCACCCTCTGTATGTGTGATCCTTTGTGGAGAAAGAGCTATGTCTTAGCTCTGTGATATGAGTTGAGCCCCTTCTCCGGATTCTGAAGATTCTTTTCATGTTTGGTTTCTTTTTGTTTGTGTATTTTAGTTATGGAAGAGGAGATTCATTATGCCCGTCTACTTCCTAAAATCCATCATCCGTTTTCTCAGTGTTTCTCCTATTTACACAGCTTCTCTGTTTCTATTGGCTGCTTCCTCCTCATGTTTGAGTCATTCCTCATCATGGACTGGGGAGGACAAGCATGACACCATGGCTTCTGTTGATGTTTCTACCACCTTACATCTTTCTATTACCCAATATTTTCATCAAAAAAATCTCGTATTAAGTATAAAGGTAAAAGGATAAATATAAAGGGTTCAGACAACATAGAAAATAAAAAAGCCTGAAATTCATCCATAATTCTCCCCATCCTGAAATAGTCCTGATTAACATTTTCATATGTAACCTTACAGTTTTATATTTTATGATTTGCATACCTTGTTTTAATTTAAAAATGGAATTATACCAAGTGATTTGAAACTCTTATTTCCAACTTTTGTTTGTTTTGAAACTGTTCATTTAATATCATAATTGACATCTTTCTGTGTTAAATACAGATTTGTGTAGTCATTTTTAATTGCTTTATGGGTTCCATTGTACACTTATACTATTTAATTAGTTCCCTACTAACAGATATTTAAATCATTTAAAATATTTCTTTTTCATTATCTATAGATTGATGAATAGTCTTTTTCTATCTTTTTGAATTCTATTTCCTTGAGGTATATTTTTGAACATGAAATTTGTGAGTTAGCTAGTATGCACATTGAAAACTTTTAATCCTCACAGAAAAATTGTCCTTCTGAGAGGTCTAATCAATTATTTGCTCACCCTGGTCAATTATTTGCTCACGCTGGTCCATACTTGCCAATAGCATTGCATGACTCTTGTTCACAGTTGCCAGTCTAATAGGCCAGGGATATGATATTGTTCCACTTCACATTTCTTTAATGACATCCACTGAGTTTTTATTTTTTGCTGTGTGTTTTTGACCATTTATATTTCTTCTTATTTGAGTTTTCTTGTCTTTAGCCTCGATTTCCTTAGATGTGTTAACGTCTTTTTTCCTGAGCTTGTGTACCCAGGACATTTTTACCTTGTTGTACATTTGAGAGTTCAGGAGTCACTGTAAGGGAATAACTGCAGCTGCTTGCTCCTCCTTCCTGCCTTGAAGGACCCCTCCTCCTTATTTGACTGGCTCTTTCTGTGTTTCTCTCTGCCCCATGCTGTCTCCGCCACTGTCGTCTCTGCAGTCCAGGCCCTCTTCTCTCTCTGTGATCTCTTTGCAGTCTGTCTGCTTCTCTGTTCTGTCTGCTTCTGCTCACCCACACGTGTACTTGTGCCCCGCATCCACCACCCTCGTTCTCTCTGGTTGCCACTGTGTCTGTTGTGTATCTCCATTCTTGTTCTGATTACTCTTTCCTCCCCATTATATTATTGCTGTGTTTGTCTCTGTGCTTTCTCTGTATGTTTTCTCTCTTTTTCTTTCCCCTCTCCTTTCCGCATCTCTTTTCCTCCGTGTCTGGTTGCCTTCTGGTGGGCGAGAAGGGATAGTTTACTATTGTCTGTACAGAAAGTGAAGGCAAAAGTTCATGTTCAGCAGTTTTTCTTTATGAAGAAAAAGGTGAAGATGGTGAATGATTTCTCTGCATTTTTGCAGAGAATTATAAATATATTTTGTATATATATATGTATACATATGACAAGAATAAAATATATGTGTATATATGACTGGCACAAAATACCATACCAACTAAAAATATGGATTATTAGATTTTTCTTTATAATCTCCTACATTTTAATTTTTTTTTTACAAGAAACGTGCATGTTCTAATAAGAAATAAGAAAAGTTGTTTTGCTTGACATTAATAATAGAGCGAGGTAAGCCAGACTGATCAAACACAAAATGACGTCATGAGCTGGAAGGTGAATTCTCAGACTTCTCATGTATTTCTATTTTCTGTCTAAAAGACCCTTTCAAACCTTCAATCTAGTCATAATGAATCCTTCTAGAAGCATCATGAAATAATAGACTTAGAGAAGTATTACATGCAGTTTCTTTTCTTTTTTTTTTTAATTATACTTTAAATTCTGGGGTACGTGTGCGGAACATCCAGGTTTGTTACATAGGTATACACATGCCATGGTGGTTTGCTGCACCCATCAACTCTTCATCTACATTAGGTATTTCTCCTAATGCTCTCCCTCCCCTAGCCCCCTACCCCCAACAGGCCCCAGTGCATGATGTTCCCCTCTCTGTGTCCGTGTGTTCTCATTATTCAACTCCCACTTATGAATGAGAACATGCAGTGTTTGGTTTTCTGTTCCTGTGTTAGTTTGCTGAGAATGATGGTTTCCAGCTTCATCCATGTCCCTGCAGAGGTCATGAACTCATCTGCTTTTATGGCTGCATAGTATTCCATGGTGTATAGTTTCTATGCCAAGATAAAGTGGAATTTTCTTTTAACCTCAGGTGCCAAGGGTTGAGTGAAATGTACTCCTCAGTTCATGACTTCTCTTTTTAAATTTTATTGCCATATCCCATCCTCATTTCTGTCTCCCCATTGGCAACCATCTTACTACATATCTTTCAATTTACATAAAAATTTTAAAATGTATAATTTGTAAATATGAATGAACTATCAACATATATAAAAGGTATAGCATTACTTTTCATATGTTTCCTAAGTTTTGTGTTGATAAGATCTATCTACATTGCTATAAATACATGTAACTCCGGGTTCTAATCTAATTTTTAGCCATGAACTTCCTTGTGATGGTCACCCAGGTTGCCGCTAGCTCTCCATCACCACGGAACATAGCAGTGCCTGTCTTTGTTCATGTCCCTATGCACCTGTGTTCTTATATAAAGACAGAAAGTGGCTATGGCTTGCTTGAGTAGAGACAGCTAAGAAAGAGAAGATCTTAGACTGGCTTAGGTCTTTGGACTCCAGACATAGAGCATTTTCTCCTGCATCAAAGTTGCTGCCATTCTTCCTCCCTGATGTGCAAACCTTTACAATTATCCCTACTAAACAACCTCTCGCTAGATTTAGCCCATCATTCCTGTTATAACTTGGGACCCTGACAGCCACTCAGGCACTCCCAGATGCACATTGTGTGGAAATTTCCATATCTCCACGACACTGATGTGTAAAATCCTAAGAAGGAATAGCCAGAGCCAAACCCAGTGACTGGCACACAGCAGGTGCTTAGCAAATATCTGTTGTCAAATGCAAGATGTACCCCTCAGTAAAGGCATCCCTCTGTATTGAAATTACATTTGGGTCAGGTTGGTTCAACCAGTTATGGTTCTATCAAGTTGTATTGTCATCCAACCCATGTGACTCCATCTTGCCCTCAAAGATGCCATGAAATGTTTTGTCGTTTTATTCAAATCTAGGTGTACTCTACTACACATTATTTTTGTCAGTCAGTCAGTGACCATATCTACTAGGGAAAACAAGACTAATCAGGTAGAGCTTATTCTGCCTGCCTTACTGAGCCCAGATGAAATGTGCTAATCTTTTCTTTGACCTCAAATTCCTTGAAAATTCTCAGATTGGTGGTCCAGCCTAAATTTAATGAGTCATCAGTATTAAACCCACCAATTTGCAGTGTCATTCTTTCTATAAATGAAAGCAGGTCCTGTCTTATAATGTTTAACATAGCTCTTCTACTCCAGGATTCTGTTGGAAGTTTCCTGAAGGCCCTGGAATATAGTTTATCTAATTCAAGGGGTCAGATACTCTCTGTTTCCTATCCTCATTTGGGCTTTAATTCGCCTCCACCAGACCTAAGTAGAAAATTCCCTATCATTTATTCAAAATTTAGATGTCCAGACTTCCCCCTAGAGATTCCAATTCATTACTCTAGATTAGCCATTCTCACCCTCTGCCAGAGGTATTTATAATGTGCAAGTTTAAGAAATACTATTTTACACTGTAGTGTTTGTTCAACCATACACTGTTTTTTTCTTGTCCACCAACGTCAGTCCAGTATCATCTGTAATCCCTGAAACCGCCTTCATTGCTCTACTTGCTCTGAACATAATTAAAAGATCTTCAGGACTCTTCAATACGTTTTGCAATACTCCACTCACTCAGGACTCCAGGAGCCTTGCAGGTGTTTGGTGTCTGTCCTAGTTTATGTGTCTGAGTCTGCTCTTTACTGGAGAGCACTCTCTGCAGCTCATCCCTTTCCTTAGCTATAACCAGCCCTCTTTATCTCACGTCAAAATTACATGCAGGTGTCAGTTCAGAATTTGATTCCGAAGATGCACCAGACTAATGTGTGCCAAACATCCCCATCAGAGTGGTTGCAAGCCCCATGAATACAGCCAGGATTTTTTGTTTGTCATCTTGCAACAGCTCAGGTCCCGTCCAGCCACAACAATCACAGACACGTGGCAACATGTTCACATTGTCCCAAGCTTCCTCAGCTGCATCCAGACAGTTTGAATTGGATTAAAAAGGGCTTCTGGAGATTTACAGGCTTGCTTGTCCTGTGGGTAACTGACATTGATTGCAGTAATGATGTCAGGGTTTCTTTTCTTTTTCCAGGTAGGAAACCATGTGATTTGCTCTGACTTGATTTCGTCATCTACCAGTAGTCTCTTGTGCTCAAACTCTGCACTTTGCAACAAGCATAAATTAAATAAGAGCATACAAGCAGGAAAATTACTTGAATTCAAACGTTTCCACTGAAATACAAATGGGTCTTAAATATATAAGATATGTGACCTCTCTCAAATGACATGAAGATTAAAACTGTATCCAACTGCCCTTTTTCACCAATCAGATTAGCAAAAATTCAAATTTGATGGCAAGAGTGCAGGGAAATGGGGTCCCTTGTGTATTCTTGTGGGAGTAGAAGTTGGTTCACTGTGAAAGGTAATTTAACAGTTTCTATCTACTTTTGCCCAGAATTTTATTATTTTATTTTTATTTTTTTATTTTTATTTTTGAGACAGAGTTTCGCTCTTGTTGCCCAGGCTGGAGTGCAATGGCGCGATGTCGGCTCACCGCAACCTCCGTCTCCTGGGTTCAGGCAATTCTCCTGCCCCAGCCTCCTGAGTCGCTGGGATTACAGGCACGCGCCACCATGCCCAGCTAATTTTTTGTATTTTTAGTAGAGACGGGGTTTCAACATGTTGACCAGGATGGTCTCGATCTCTTGACCTCGTGATCCACCCTCCTTGACCTCCCACAGTGCTGGGATTACAGGCTTGAGCCACCGCGCCCGGCCACTTATTTTATTTTATTTTATTTTTTATTTTGAAACGGGATCTCACTCTCACTCAGACTGGAGTGCAGTGGCACGATCTTGGCTCACTGTAACTTCTGTCTCCCAGGCTTAAGCGATCCTCCCACCTCAGCCTCCTGAGTACCTGGGAGTACAGGCATGTGCTACTACCTGGCTATTTTTTATATTTTTTGGTAGAGGCAAGGTTTCACGATATTGCACAGGCCGGTCTTGAACTGTTGAGCTCAAGTGATCTGCCTGCCTCAGCCTTCCAGAGTGCTAGGATTACAGGTGTGAGCCACTGCACCCAGCTCACCCAGCATTTTTACTTTTGGAGTTTATAATATACTGTGTGCATGTGGAATTTAACCTATAGATATACTTGCATATGTGCAAAATGGTATACAAAATTAACCATGGAAGCATTGTTTTTTACAGCAGAAAATTAAAATAGCTTATATGTCCATCCATAGACAAACTGTCAAATTAATTACTGTATATCCAGATAATGAAATCCTACATAGAATGAGGAAGGTCTGTCTGTGCTGGTATGGAAAGATCTCCAAGACACATAATTTTTATTTTTAAGGTCAGAGTAGTGTGTAGCATACTACAATGTGTGTTTTTGAAAAAATAAAGGCGGGAAGAGAATTGCTTGAATGTAAAAAAAAATCCTCTGGAATCCTATATTAGTTATTCTTTTCCACTAATGTCTAAACTGACCTAAAAATAAAAAACTTTTGTTCCTCCCTCTCCTCCTCCTTCCTTCTCTTTCTCCTCCTTCCATCCCTCACCCCACACAAAGACATTCATTGAAAAGGGTTTACTTCCTCACTGGAATAAACCTGTCCACTCAGCCTCAAGGCTGCTTCCAGAGATGTCTTCAAGTAACAAGGAGACTGTGACAGGTGCCAAAACAAAAACAAAAAACAAAATACCACAGTCAGTGATGTCTCACTCCAAGTGCCAGTGAGGCTAAACTAAAAGAGGACAGTGATGTGACTTAAGCAAAAACGCTTTTTAACGTTTTCCTGGGAACAAATGTTAAAAAGGAACAAACAGAATTCCCATGAAGGTCAGTTCCTCCTTCCAGATTTTTGTGGCACAGAAACTAGTGATTTTCAAGTCCCTGTGTTAAATAAGTTTAGCCTAAAGCTGCCTCCTTCCGTATTTTAAGTCTGCCCTAAAGGTTTCTCTGTACTCCACGAACTGTCCTCTAAATTGGCTTGTAAATGGTCTGTAGACTACTCTTTGCCACTCACCATGTTTTAACCAATCAAAGGTGGCCAGCTGTTCAAACCACATTCAAATAAGGCAAACGGTGAGCTGGAACCAATCTGGCTGTTTCTGTGCCTCATTTCCATTTTCCATACACTGTTTATCTTTTTATTATATCTGTAAATTATCCTCTACCACATGGCTGTGGCATAGGAGGCCGCCTGACTCACAAATCATTTTTTTGCTCAGTCTTTTAAATTCAGTTTGGCTGAAGTTTTTCTTTTAGGCTGGGCGAGGTGGCTCAGGTCTAATCCCAGCACTTTGGGAGGCTGAAGCGGGCTGATCACCAGGTCAGGAGATCAAGACCATCTGGCTAACATGGTGAAACCCTGTCTTTACTAAAAATACAAAACGCAGCTGGGCACAGTGGCCAGCGCCTGTAATCCCAGCTACTCAGGAGGCTGAGGAAGCAGAATTGCTTGAGCCTGGGAGGCAGAGGTTGCAGTGATCTGAGGTCACGCCACTGCATTCCAGCCTGGGTGACAGAGCAAGACTGTGTCTCAAATAAAATAATATGCTCTTATCTTTTCCAACTCTATATATGTGTAAGCCAAATATTTTTAATGTGTACTTTAACCGGCATAATATATGAGAACATACTTAATGCAGAAGCAGATGAGTTCAGCTATATTAAACCAGGTATTAAAGAGCTTTGTTAAAAAAACAGTGCCATTCTTCTCACTACCACTTTTTTGTTTTAGAAAGAATTTCTAATTTGCATGCTAAAAATAGGTTACTTATGTTACCATGTAACATGCTTATTATTATTTTAAGTGAATTAAGCAATAAGTATTTTTAATATTTTTAGATAGCCCAGATTAAACCCCGGACTCCATCCCAGTGGCCCTTGTCCCCTCCACAGAGACCTTGGTGCTAGAGTGGATTGATTGAGATGCTGGCCTTGATTCTTCTCCCCTGGCTGCATCCCAGCCCTTTGCTATGTGACTTTGTAGCTCCGCTGACTGCAGAGGTGGCTTTCTCTCTACCCCTGAGACTGGAATGACAGCAGATGTCATACCTGCAGGGGCTTCAAAACATATTTTGTTGTTTCTGCTTTTGTTTTTGCTCCTTTGCAATTTATTTGAAATGATGCCTGAGCTAGCCTGTTGGAAGTTGAAAGAGCCCTGTGGCCCTGTCCCTTCAGCCAACCCCACAGCACTTATACAATGCAGTCTGAGACCAGAGGAGCTGCCAGCCAAGCCCAGCCAAAATTGCTGACCTGCAGATTCATGCACTAAATAAATGTTTATTATTATTTTGTGTTTTTTTAATGGAACATTTTCATGGCACCAGAAAATAAAACAGATGAGGACTAAGCTGATTTTTTTATCTTGCCCAAATTCCTATCTAAGGGGTTTGGGGAGTCATGCCCTACAAACCATAAATTCTCATCAGATGGGTTTTACTTAACTCTGTATATTGTATATATTTCCTTCCTTCCTTTCCAAATCCAGGAGATAATCAACTAAGAGCCAGGCACCCTTTTAAGTCCGTTGAGTAACATTTTATAACCTGCTCTCTCTGAAGTCTGCTCTCTGAGACACAGAAACATTCCAAGCCTGTGGTAAGTGAGCTCACCCTAAAACCCTTAAATATTCTCAGTCCGTAAGGGAGAGCACTCCTGACCAAAATTGGTCAAAGCTTTTCTCAGCTTTATTCGTCAACATACACCTGTCTTTGATGGTTGAGCCACTTTTCATGTTTCTTTCCTCTTTTTTTTAACTCTTAGACTTGGTGCCAAAACCTGGGATGGGTGTTGTGGGTAGAGGCTCTCTTGCAACCCAGGAGGCAGTGGGCAGCAGCAGCTCATCCTGCTGGATCCTGAGTGTCTGGCCACTCACTGCCCCATGTTGTCTCTCACTTCACTTTTCAAGCAATTTGCATGAGGAGGACAACTAACCTGAAGAGGACTGCAAGGCTTGGGCTGGGACTACTCCCCAGGAGGTTCTCAAAACCCTCAGGTCTCAGGAATCCATCTCCAACCACCCACAATGGGGAGTATTTTGCTCTCTAACCCTTGTCCCCTCCTCCTCCCTCATCCTCCCTTCTCTCTCTGTCTTCCTCGTGTGGCTCCCATCCAAAAGGCCCTTTGCCAATTCCAACTGAACATCCCACATCAGACATTAATCCAGCCAACTGGTAAGATCTGCCCTTCCCTGACCTTCTTGCAGTACCCAGGAAAGTCAGGTCTGACATCCCAGTTCTCGGAGGACCAATGGGACTAAGCTAGAAGAAATCTTGGGGACACCCAGTTTCTTCTCAGCTTGACCATCCTCTTCATGAAAAGGATTCTAGGTCTCTGTCTTTTGTCTGGAAATGCCTAGAACAAAACAGACACCCTTGGTTTTCTCTTACCAGTCCACATGAGTGCCAGACAGTCCCAGATTCCTACTGGCCTGTCTCTTTCACAACCTCACCAAACTTGGCTTATGGGAAGCATAAAGCCAAAGTGGTTTTTTTTTTTTTTTTTTAATTGCAACATGGTCTGGCCCCAACACAAATTAGATAATGACAAGCAATGGCCCACAAATGACACCTTTGACTTTCAGATTCTCAGGGACCTCGATAACTTTATAACCAGGAATGGCAAATGGCGAGAGCTTCTTTATATTCAGGCTTTCTTCTACCTTAGGTCCTGACCCTTCCTGTGCCAAGCTTGCACCCCGTCATGAAATTCTTCTTATTAATGAAAACCCTCCCGGGTCTCTCCTTCCTCCAAAACTCCTTCCTTCTCAACCCCTTTCTCTGAAACCCCTTTTGACCCTACAGGTGAACCCTCTCCATATTCTCATCCCCCTGCATCCGTTCCTTGCCTGGCCAAACCTTCAGCCCTGGTGGCCCCTCCTGCCCCCAAGTGTTCTGCCCTAAACCCTGCTCCTCCTCCTTTTCCACTTGTTAGCCATTCAAAAACTACTCTAACCAGTCAAATCACCTCTGCCATTCTCCCTCTCCAGGAAGTGGCTGGGGTTGAAGGCATTGCTGGAGTTCTTGTCCCTTTCTCCATGTCTGATTTGTCACAAATCAAACAGCATCTGGATCTTTCTCTGAAGATCCATCTCATTGTCGTGGGGAATTCATACACATAACCCAATCCTTTAATTTAACTTGGCATGATATTCATATAATTCTAGCCTCCACTCTCACCCCTGATAAAAAGCACCCAGCTTAATTAAAATGGATATCCAAGCTATGAGTATATTCAAAAGGCCTTTATGTTTTTCTTTTCATAAATCTTGTTTTCCTGGAAAAGATTTTTCCCCCGTCGAATTAAATACTTTTTTTCACTCTTGCGACTCTTGGTGCATGCATGAAAGACCCTGAAATGACTTCCGGTGGCCCTGGACTCCTTGGAAAAACAGAAAAGCACCATAAATCCCATTTTGGGAGAAATCTCTGTCTTCGTCATGGAACCCCTGGAATTACAGGTGAATAAGTACCTATCAAAATCTGTCTTTGTCTTTCAACTATACTTGTTTATTAGGCCCTGGAAACTGTTTTCCTAGCCCTGTTCTTAAAAGGCCTCACCTAAAGGCCAATAATCCAGCTGGGAAATTAACAACGAAAAAAAATCTTACGACTACTGGATCTTCTTCTGGTCGTCTGTGTTGCTATATATGTGTTATATGTCCAGTGTCTATTTAAAAAGCTCTAATTAATTGGTCTAATTAAAATAAGCATTTAAATCAAATATTTTTAGGGGAAAAGTAAAAGCTGTGAAAACTTTCAGTTCATGTGACTTCAATCTTTAAAACTTACTGGTACAGTAAGATTAGAAATGTCTTAAGAGTTGCCAGCATATATTTTTGTTTGCATTTATTAATCAAGCAATTCCAGACTTATCTCTGCCAAATACTATAAGATGTCAAAATTGGCATAGAGGCTACAAAACTGTAACTCAGCCCAAACACAGTAATCTTTGCTTGTTTAATTCTTTAATAAATGAAACAATATTGGTTTAATGAAGATAACTACATCTTGAACTATTTAGTAAAAGATCCTAACTTCTTTTTTGTTGGTGGTGCTTTCTTTTTTTTTTTCCCCCTTTTTTTGTTTTTTTTTTAGACAGAGTCACACTCTGTCGCCTAGGCTGGAGTACAATGGCGTGATCTCAGCTCACTGCAACCTCTGCCTCTCTGCCTCCCGGGTTCAAGTGATTTTCCTGCCTCAGCCTCCTGAGTAGCTGGGACTACAGGCATGTGCCACCACACCCAGCAAAATATCCTAATTCCTAATATGTGGCCTTAGGCAGTCTAGTCCACAGACATGAAGGAAGTTTGTTCTGGGAAAGAACTGTTATCATCTTTGTTTCAAAGCTAAACTATAAGTTAATAAAAATAGAAAAGGCTTGGGAACATGTGAAAATAGCCATGACTCCTAGCTATGCAAAAGATATTAAGGAAAAAGAGTTCATATGAAAAGAATCTTAAATGGTAAATTCTTGTCCTAAAGTAAATTCACTCATTTAAAGAAAGGGGTGTTTACAACAAGTCAGAAAGTTGGAGCATGTCAGAGATTGTGAAAGTTGTAAAAAATTTTATAAAAGGGATTTGTGCAGGAAGTGTTGTACAATTTAAAAGTGATTAGACCTCATGAATGCTTTATAAAATGCCACTATAACTCGTAGCTGTACAACTTGCCTGCTTTGCAACTGGGTATGACCTAGGACATATGGAGTTAAATGCTGGAAGAAGCCAAACCTTATTTGCACTTCTGTCTAGGTCTTAGACTCTACACTTAGTACATAATTAAAATCTGAAACTTAGCAACAAAAGCAAAGGTTGCTAAAAGTTAACAGTGTAACATGTATTTAAGACTATTGAAAAAGCAGTTTACATATACTTTTGGTTAAAAGATTATAAGGAGGAATGAGAATGTGGTTTTTTTACCTAGATCTAAAGGCTAAATCATTGTTTTGAAGATTTAAGAATTTAAAAGGAAATTCTGTTTGTAAACATATTGGCTAAAGTTGAAGGGGTATCATCCAGTTTTCTGTAAATTGAGCAAGAAAAGAAAAGCACAATGGGTTTCTCTTAAAGCACTAACTTGTTCTTTAACAAACATTATAAAAAGTATGTAAAGGGTTAAAAAGGGTCTATAAAAACCTTACCTTATGGTTAAACATTAAAATTGGGTAAATGTATCTACAAGGTTTTATTAAAAAGTGAGTTTAACATTAATAGCCCACTAATATAAAGGTAAAATTTAGCTTATTTGGTATAAAATCATATAGGAAGCATTGTCAAATATAAAATGGTGTTTGGCATTCTTTGGGCTATATTTGTATAAATATGTTATTGGTATGTGTTCCAAAGTTATAGGAGGCTCCTATAATTCTGATGTATTTTAGTGTGCTTTATCAGTAATAATTGTAATTGTTATATTAAAATTATTGTGTGCAACAAAAGTAACAGATATCCTTGACAATTGTGACTTTAACTAAAACTTCTCGTCATCCATAAATGATTGTTGTCTTGTTTCTGGTCCTCTAGAGACTAAAGTAATCTTTTTCATTTTTTTTTTTTTTTAGTATTTTTAAGTTAGGGCAATATAGTTATTTGCATAAGTGCAATACGAATCTATTTTCTTTTGTAACAGGAAACAATTGGAAAACTGGTTATTCTACTAAGGCTTTGACTGGAATGGTGTGCTCTCCTTTAAGGAATCTAACTTGACTTATGAAGCCAAGAAAGCCCTTGGAAACTGGCCTAATTTTTTGTGTACACAGTCTCCGTACAGGGTTTCTGGTCTGTGGTAAGTAAACAATATCACTTTCTGACAGGCCAGGAACCCCAAGTTATCTTAAAACCTCAAGGGGAGAGGAATTCACCCAACACGTAGGTATTTAATGGTACAGGTCCATGGCTGGGCTCAGCTCTAAAAGATCTTATCTCAGATTCCTTCTATGGAACAAAGTTCCATCAATGCTAATTTAAAAGGCCTATGTAATACGTAATTATTCTTGCTGCATTGTATGCAAATGCTTAAACCAAGTATAAGAAAGCAAACCAGTCCTACCATTATTTGTCTTTTAATTAATGTTTACTAACAGAAAATAACACATGGGCCTTTCCAAACATGCACCTCTGCCTCTCACTGAGTTAAGGAATGTTGATTCTATCTCAACCAATCGGGCCTAGTAAGAAACACTGTTAAATAACTTGAAGGAAGGGCCAAAAAGCTAAGGGAATACCAAAACAGTTAAATAAATTCTTGGTTTGGGAACGAAATCATAGCATGGGTCATCCCATTTGAGGGCCCTCTCCTAATGATATGCCTAGGACTAATGTTTTTACCCAGCCTATTTAATCTTTTTAAAAGATTTTTAACTGACAGGATCATGGCCATTTCACAGATAACTACCCAAAAACATCCACAGACAGTGTTACTCCTTCAGTCAATCTGAGACCAGAAAACTCTCCATCCTCCTATCAGCAGGAAGTAGCCAGAAAGAAAATGCCACCCCTTGTCCTTTTTGTAACCATAGGGTCTGGATTAACAGAGCAGGAGCATCTCTGTCTTGGACAAGCACCACCATTTTAAAGTTCCCCTTGATCAACCATCTAATTCCAACCCAAAGGCCATCATCCTAATGCTTAATGCCAGCATGCCCATGTACCACAAATGACATCTCCGACCAGAAACATTCCAACTCTAAGATAAACCCCTCCCCAACCAGAGACATGCCAGCCCTGAGATAACCTCCCCTCTGGCCAGAGAGATGTCAGCCCCAAGGTAACCACCTCTCTGACCAGAGACATTCCAACCCTGCAATAAACTTCTCCACATAGAAACATTCTAAGCCTGTGATAAACTCTCACCCTAAAACCCTTAAGTGCTCTTAGTCTGTAAGAGAGAGTGCTCCTGACTGAAATTGGCAAAAGCCCCTCTAAAGTTTATTCTCCAGAATAAACCTGTCTTTGACTGTTCAGCCACTTTGTGTGTTTCTTTCCTCTTTCTTTAACTCTTACACCCTGGTCACTCATATTTGGCTCAGAATAAATCTCTGAAAATATTTTACAGAGTTTGACTCTTTTTATCAACACAGAAAAGACCCAAAAAGACTGAAAGAAGCAGAACCCCAGAAGCCACCCTACAATCAAACACAAGGGACACAGATGAGAATGGACAATAAGCTTTTATTGTGTCATTGCACTGGAAGGTTGGAGACTGCGTACTGCTACAGCAGAGTGGATTCTATTCTAACCAATACACAAAGAAAGAGATCACAGACCCCCCTGCCTGAGCAGAAGGGAGGTGGTAGATGAACTGTAGGAACAGCCACTAGCCTCCAAATCAAGGTGAGGTAGGACTGACCAGTCTCCCAGAAGCCCATGCCCTGGTAGAGGGCCAGGCCAGAGAACTACAATGTATTCATGCCAAGGACAACTTTACTGTAGCCCTGGTCCCAGGCAAACTGGAGGACAGTCCTGACCAGGGCTTTTTCTGTCCCCTGATGATGGTGCTCAATATCTACGAAGAGGTGACGCAGCTGCAACTGTTTCTCCCTCAA